ATCGGGTGTTATAGGGTTGGACTTACTGGGGTAGTTTGGTGTTAGAATCGGTTGGTTTTGTGAGGTTTGGGCTTTTGGACAGCCATGGAAGTTCTGAGTTCGCAGGTTCGCCAGGCGAAGCCCAGCGAGCAGCAGCGAACTAAGTCAGAAGCATCCACCCTGTCTTCGCTTGCAAGTTCGCCAGGCGAATGAGAATGGCGAAGGTTCGCCAGGCGAGTGTGCTAGCGAGTAATTCCAAAATAACTCTCAGTGGTCTTCGCTGGCGATTTCGCCAGGAGAACTAAGTAGCGAAGGTTCGCCAGAGGCTTCGCCAGGCGAAGGTTGGTGAATGCGACAACATTTTCCTATTCTCTGTATTTTTCCTTTCCATGCGAATTTCTTAGTTCAGTTATGTTTAATCCTTATCGAATTGAATAGTTTTGTGTGCCGTGTGGTACGTTATGTTGTGGGTAGCCGCAAGGCGTGAATCCTATAATGTGGAATTTTGATTGTGAAAGTATATGCCTTATATGGAATGGTATGTGTTGAAATGAAGAGTATGTATATATTATGGAGTATAAGTATATTGTGAATGTACATAGATTGTATGTGCTTGTATGAGATGAATATGCATAGTGATATATTTGCGAATATGTATGCATGTAGAGTAATGTTGTGACTCATTTTGCATAAAGGCATCATGATGTACATCCTAGCGATGTTGATTCCTTGAAGAATCTGCTGAACATTTGATTCCTCGGAGAATCTGCAGAGTATTTGATTCCTCGGAGAATCTGCTGAATATTCGATTCCTCGGAGAATCTCATGAATATTTGATTTCTTGGATAATCTGCTGAATACTTGATTACTTGGAGAATCTGCTGAATTGAGTCGATACCGCATTTGCATCTGCATAGAGTCGTGAGTCGGTCTCTATGAGTTGCATTGGTCATCTTTATATGATGCATGGAGTGAATTGAACATAATTCTAGATGTTTATGTGGAAGATGATGAGTATGTATAGACGCATGAATTGATGAATATGCTTGATTGTGTGAATATGCATCGTGATGAGATGTGGTGAGAATTTGAATTGTGTAAATCCCATGTATGTATATAGATATATAAATATATGTATTGACTGTTATGATATTGTTTCTCACCTTTCTGCTGTTTTATGATGCTCTATGAGGCATTGCAGAGTAGGATTGCTGGAGGTCCTTTTTGTGAAGCAGGTCTTTATTATTTTTGGTCGATGGCTCTGATATGTAACATCTGGGTAGTTAGGAAGCCATTGGCTCTTTTTGGAGATACATTTGTTTTGATTTCTTTTGTGATACATCTGCGTATGTATCTGATGATGGATGTTTGTACATATGAATTAACTGAATGGTGTATATATGTTTATATGAATGTATTGATTCAATGTTTAGATGTTTCCGCTTTTTTCTAAATATTGAGATGTGGGTTTTAGAACTATGTTCTTCAATTGTGAATTGCCCATTGTTGCATATCTATTTGAGCAGGTGTTGTAGTTGTTTAACTTCATGATAATGTGATACACCTCTTTTATATCATGTATTAATTAAACTCTGATGAAACTTTATCAAGTGCCTAAATGATTTAATTGTTTATTTAGGGGTATAGAAAGGGAGTGTTACACCTTGCAACCACAAAGAGGATACTAATGTATCTCAAAGGAACTCTCGACTATGGTATTTTGTATACTGTAGTAGATGAAGGAAAATAATTCAAACTTGTGGGATACACTAATTTGAGATGATGTGGTGATGTTGAGGATAGAAAATCCACAGTTGGTTATGTGTTTCAGCTAGGCGGTGCACCAGTTGCTTGGAATTCAAGAAAGGAACTTGTTATAGCATTATCATCACGTGAGGATGAATACACAATTGCCTCTCTATGTGCATCCCAAGCAACATTGATGGTGAATTTGATCGAGGAAATTATAGGAAAGAATCATGGGGCAATGACCATAAAGATCGAACACATGGAAAAGTAAGCACATCGAAATTAGATCCCATTATCTAAGAGAACAAGTAGCGAATAAAAGTTTGAGCCTAGAATACTGCGAATCATAGAATCAAATTGCAGACATAATGACAAAGGTTGTGCAGGTCAAATTGTTCAAGAGATTGAGAACAATGATGAATGTAGAAAGCTTAGACACAATTTATTAGGTGGTGTGTTAAATATTTAATTTTTTGTGTTAAGATTGTATTCGATGGTGTCGAAGTCTGTATGAAGTTGTCGAAGAAGTTTACTTTGACAGAGTCTAACACGTTGTTGGGACATTTAATTTGAGGGTCAACACATGGGATTTTTATTACATTCCTTGGGTTTTTTTCCTATGAGCAACACACATTATGAGAGACATACCACATACTCACCCAAAATCTTAAGGTGATATGTGTGTGGGTTCTCTCACTTATAGATGCTCAAGTATCTACTTTTCTAACTAATATGGACTTCCCCATACTTTATTTCTCAAAGTTTCCAACACACAATTGTTATTCACAACACTTCTCCTTAAGAGTGAGCCTATCCACAATACTCCCCTTCAACCAGAGGTATTGTCATCCACATACACTTGTACCGCCATTGACACTCTTCAACTAGACATCTTATATCCACCATCCTATGGGAAGGACTTTCGATACAAGAGAGTCGGTCCTTCACTCGAACTAGACTCTGATACCACAGTTGGGACATTAATTCGGGGGTTAACATGACGGAAAAATTTTACATTTCTTGAGACTTTTCTCTATGGGCAACACACCTTGTGAGTGACACACCACATACTCACTCAAAATCTTAAAATTATATATGTGTGGTTTCTCTCAATTATAAAAGCTCGAGTATCAATTTTTCTAACTAATGTGAAACTTCTTCACACTTTGTTTCTCAAAGTTTCAAATTCACATTTGTTATTCTCAACACCTATTTTCTAGAGAGTTGTGGTATGACTTTGTTTATATGGTTAGTATCTAAGTAATGGTATTGTGCAGTTTTTTTTTCTAAAAAGAAACCTCATGCAAGACAAAAGTCAATGTTCGAACGATGGCTTCACAAAACAGAAACCTGTGTGTCGTCCTTTTTTTTAGAACACTCACAAATAAATCACTATGAATCTAATAATTTTGTCTAATATCTACTCTAATTAGTCTCTAATAATTTTTACAAAGAAAAATCCCTACAACAAAAAGAAAAGAAAAAGTTAACTTTCTTTTTGTTTATATAAAGGGACAAACTTTCTTATTTAATGACGAGACAAATCCCTTTATTATTTAAAGGAGAAACTGTTTATCTTTGTTCACATTTCTTGAAATATTTCGAATCTCTTTTTAAAGAAATGTGAATAATCCAATTAAAAAGATACGGAAAGCTTAGATAGTGGGTTGATTTTTGTAAATTAGCAAGTTTTTGAGTTTGATCCTTATAATTTATTTATTTTTAATTTAAATTTCTATATCTCATTTTTTGCGTGTGATTTAGTCTTTAAAGTCAAAATCCACAGGTTTCCTGTAAATTTTGAATTTAAAAACTAAAATGCACGCAAAAAATGAGTTATAAAAACTCAGACAAAAAAAATACAAAAATTAAACTTAAAAATTCGTTAACCTACAAGGACCAAAAATGTATTTACACTATATAGAAATGATAATTTTGAACATGAAATCCATTAACTATAACCTTTTGCTTTAATTAACACAATCAAAATTTGAACTGTTAACACTAGTGAGTTCCTCAACATTGACTAGGAAGCTAGAAGGTAAGCAAATTCTAAATAAATTAAATTAAACAAAAGGGCCTTTGTAGATTTAGAAGATCTTTGTCTAATTATGTTTAATCAAACGTGACAGTGACATATTCATATGATGGGGGCCAAGGCTATACCTACTAGCACTCAAAGCAAATGTACTTGTTTATTGTTTTTCTTAAAGAGTGCATACTTGGTAACCAAAACCTATAACAATTTTATATACCCAAATTGTGTTTATATATCACACTAGTATTAAGTATTAACATATGATTGAGAAAGCCCTTTGCATTGAAGCAACCTCAACTCAAAGAGTGTGACATGTTCACTAGTCATGGTTACATGACCAATTTAAAACTATGAAATTAATCTAAAATCTCAAACAAACAAAACTAATTAATCAAAATGCAACCTACTACCAAACTTTTAACCCTTGTATAGTTGTATTACCTAAACCATATCATATATATGAACTTGATTTGTTACATCACTGCCTCAGCATGACACATGAATATCAGTTTCAGATAATTGAAGCCATTCTTCTTATTTAATTGACTTTGACGTCAAAAAAAAATTAACAAACAAAATGCAATATAAATGGTTCACAATTAGGGTTGTCTTAAGATATCTCATAGATGAATATAAAAGGAACAAAAAGTCTCTCTTTCAAGTTGAAGATTTTTTTGCTCCATCAAATTAGGACATTGATGGTCTAGTTCAAAAGCAAAAGCTATCAGCACACCCAGTACCACCCTATCATAAGAATAAGTTACATATTGATCTAAAAGTGCTCAAGAAATACTAGTCAAAATGAGGAAGTGCAACTTTGCCACTTTCCACTAAACCGACCTTTTATTGCATGCGTGTGGACAAATATTTCATTTCCAATACTCAAAGATACTCTCTCATTTGGTTTGATTATATGCAATATATCCCTAAACAATCAATACATTTAAATTAGGTATTTTCTATTAGAAAACACAAATTCTCTCTTATTCTAACTCTTGTCCAATTCACAAGATTAATACTTAACCGAAAAACAGGTTTCTACTCTACTCCACACAAAACAAACCCATCCATTTTTTAAAAAGACCTACCACACTACTAGTCATCTCATCACTATATATCTCACTTCCTTTCCCTTCAATCTCACATAACTTACATTTTCCTCTTTCCTCTCTCTCCAATCTTAAACTCCTTCCATTTTCTCATCATCTCTATAGTTCCTTTCCTTTCAACAAAAATGGGAAATTGTCTAGCTCTTTCTAAACCCATTTCAGAGCCATGCTCCATAATATCCACCATGACAAAACTTGTTAAAGTAGCCAAAGAAGATGGTAAAATACTAGAGTTTACTTCTCCAATTCATGTCAAAGATATCTTAACAAAATTTCCTGGTAATTACGGTATCGGTGTTTCAAAGAATGCAGCAGAAGCTCTACCACAAGATCATGAATTGAAAGGTGGAGAATTGTACTACTTGATTCCTCATAACAAAGAGGAACTGCCAGAAGCTGGCATAAAGAGGATCAAAGTTTTAATAACAAAGCAACAGCTTCAACAGTTAGTGAGTAAACAAATATCGTTACAAGGTTTATTATCAGTTGTTAAAGAAGATGGTGTTCATATCAGAAATGTTCGGAAGCCAATACTGGACTCTATACCGGAAGAAAATGAGTAAAATATATATGTATTGTCTTTTTCTTTTTTGATATTTTTAGCTGTTTCAACCTTTTGATTTCTCTTCTTCCATGTTGTGTTATGGTTCTTTCTTTTTGTGGAAGATATGGTAGATGTTGTTAAGTTTTTTTTTAAGGACTCTAAAAGTAATGAATAATTGTTAATGTAAATGCTGACATATAACTTGATATGAAACTGTTTAGTGTGATTTTTCGTAATACAAATAAATATTTATAACTGTGACTATAGTCAGACTAAGTTATGTGTAAAAGGACATTTTTAAAAATATTTCCAAAATCAAAATCTACGGACATACATGCCGAAAACGATTTCGATATTGACACGGCGATATTATTAATAATTTAATAATTTAATAAATTAAACAAAATTATAAATATCAGTGCTACATAATTCAAATCGAATTTTAAAGTTGAAATTGGTCGACAACATAACAATTAATTGATTGAAAGTAAATGATTTGAATAAAAAGATGATTGAAAGTAGAACTCATATGCGCTGAGCTTCTTAAGTTCAAGTGCTCCAATCTCTTGTGCCACAGTTCATTGTCACCTTCAACATTTTTTATACTAAAGCATTTAGTTTTAGTTGTTTTCACATTTACCTTGCTTTCCTGTTCAGATTGCATAATCAAATTTTGATCAGAATCATACAACTTCAAGAGATTATCTTTCATAATAACTGAGAAACTTTTCTCAATTAGATGGCTTATATTCATCATATTGCTTTTTATGCCAAAAACATACCAAACATTAGGGTTGCTCACGGTTCAGTTCAGTGAGAAAACTGAACCGACCAAATCGAACCATAGTAAAAGTTTACTCGAACTGAATCGAACTTTTTAAATTTACTCAGAACTGAATCGAAGCAAAATAATTGGTTTTGTATACCATTTAGTATTTTTCATTTTCAGTTTTGGTTTGGTGGGTGTCGCACCTCGAAAAATCATAACGAGAAACGAACCTCGCGCGGAATACGGTTCAACAGAGTTGCCACCGAATTTTATTTATCTCGAATACATGGAAGAGGAAAATATCGAGAAAACCTCTTAAAACAAAAGGACAGGAACATGGTTGTGGCAACCATGTTCAGGGTTTGGGAGTCGGTTACGCAAGGGGAAGATATTAACACCTCTCATGTCCGTTGTACTCAACGGGAACCTCTTAAGGTATTTTGCAATGGGCGTTATCTAAGCAAGCTTGTTTTCTTCTTGACGATAAAGGCGAATTGGTAGGGTAATAAGATAAGGATGCTAAGAGAAATTGGTGGTTATAGGATAGGGTATTCGCTAAGGATTGGGGCCCTTGTGCCTACGTATGCTCATTCGGACGAGAATGAGAAATCAGAGCATCGTAGTTCGACTATGGGAAAGGATAGGGAGAAACAGAAAATGGATAGAATTGTGTTCGTCAAGATCATCGCAATCTTATGCCTACGTATCTTACATTCAGACGAGAATGAAGAATCAGAGTGTCTGTAGTTCGTGGAGACGACCACGAAAAGATGAAGGGTTGAATTAAATTAGAAATTTGGTTTTGGAACGAAAGATTGACTGACAAACAACCCAAGGGGCGTGCCTCGAGAGCTGTCATTCTAGAATCCAAGGAATGCGAGATTCAAAGAACTCAGTTCTTTTGAAAGTTGATTGAATAGGTTGAAGATAAATGTTGAACGTCTTGAATTTGAAAGATTGAACTAATAACAACTCAAGGGCGCGCCTAGAGAGTTACTCATTCGAAGATTCAAGCAATGCTAGACTCTAAGAATATCCTTCTTTCGTAAGTTTGATTAAGAAATATGTTTGAATAGAAATTAAGTGTTTTAAGACGAAAGAGTGAACGAATGATAACCTAAAGTATGCGCCTCAAGAGCCATTCATTCGAAGATTCAAGGAATGCTTGATGCCACGAATCTCCTTCTTTCGTTAATTGTTTAAGAAAAACGCTTTGAATAAAAGATTGAATCGGATACGTTACAAAAAGAGATAAACTACGAGGCAAAAGGCACTCAGCTTAAAACTTGGTTTAAAATACCATTTGACGTTGGATCAAGGGTTTGACTATATTATACGCGCACAAAACGTGTTGAAATGGAAGTTAGTTTGAAAATGGAACCGACTTGACGAGGTGTCAAGGGTTAAGTTGTGAGAAACGATACTAGTCCCTGAGGGTGCCCCCAATATCGAAACCACGATGAAATGTGAAAATGTGTGTAATAGGTTGATGGTGAACGCGTATAGCATTCGACTTACAACTGGTGTTTGAAAATGGCTCCATGATGAATCGAGAATTAGTTTGAAAACGGTTTAATCTACGCTAGACCCTAAGGGTGCCCCTAGAAGATAATCGCGATCAAAGCAATACGAAAACGTATATCGAGATAGGAGAGGGGTACATATGAGTTACAAGGGATTGCACGAAATAAAAGGTCTCGTTGTAAGGTAGCAAAGAGAAAGTCGTGTGTATGCGAAGTGTCCTAAACTATGCCTTGAGCAAAAGTCGGGAAAAACTCTGAGCTATGGTTTCTGAGAAAGTCCAATAGTCCATTGCTCTGACAAGTAACCAACAGTCCACCAATTTAGGCTTTTATTGTTTTTATATTTGTTAAGTGTTTTTGAATTGAATATGAATAGGAGATGATCAATATGAATATGTACAATATGAATATAATAAGATATATAACAATATAATCGAGATAATATTCACAATAATATAATCGAGATAAATATCAACAAGTATATGAACAAGATAATATAAATCAAGATAATATTGACTGAAAGTAAAACAATGTATATTCGACTGAAAATAAAACAGTTTTATATTGACAGAAAGTAAAGCAATTGTATATTGACGAAAATTAAAGTTAGTGGTTAGTTGGTTTATAAATTGTATCGGGACGAAATGTAACGCTAAACCGTCGTAGCTCGACTAATGATAAAATTCAAACTATAGGAGGTCGCGTGAATGGATATACGTGCTAAAAACAAGATAGAGAAATGATATTGAGGAGCATTCTCCAATTTAATCATGTCGCACGGACCAAAGAAGGGTGGGATCTCGTCTTAATCATAAACTCGTTTCGATTAATTGAAGGTAGTCTATCACGATCCCAAAGTAGAGAAAATGACCCAAATGATCATTTTCCATAGATTTGATATTGTGAAGGTTATCGACTTTGATAAATTGACGTTTAAGAATTCAAAGACTTCATTGATCAATAAAATGAAATAAAATCGGGGTAAAATAGAAAATGAGGAGAGAAAAAGAAGGTGGTCTCTGATTCAGTACTATCTATCAATAATTTGACTGATAGTAATTTCAGAGGTCTCGCCATCGATCCGAAAAGAAAAAAAAAAAGAGAGATTAAGTTAAAAACAGAATAAATTTTGGACAAATTAATGGAAAATCAAATTAAATCATATGATTCAAAATTAAATTAAATATTATCTAAGAAAAAACATTTTACTAAAAAGACAAATAAATTTATGTTACAAAACTTGTGGGGGTGTATCATGGTTTGGTGGGTCAAAAGTGGGGAATCATTTGGGCTTTGTAAAGCCCATCATCCCCAAGTAAACACGAGTGTTGCACCCCAAAATTTGACCAGCCTTTTCTTAACTTGGTTTATGTTTCATTTCATTTTCTTTTAGCATTTGCATTGCATAGCATTTTTCATTTAACAGGGGATCAAGAGAGGTGTGCCTAGCAAGAGGAGGTTACCAAGAGTCTTGAGCCTAAGCAAGGGGTTCTACTCAAGAATGAGTGGTCATCAAGTCACCAAGAAGTGGTCAAAGCTTTGTAAAAGAGTTGATGGGTGTATGTGGATTAGCTCCTAACTTGGAGGCCAATTGAAGATCATCAGAGGGTTGTGAATTCATGATTATGAATATGGGATGTTGAGAAAGCTCATTTAAGGATTTGAGATCCATGTTGGAGTTTATTCAAGTTGTTGTGTCATGTGTAAGAGGCCACAGTCAAGAGTGGTGCATCTAGGGTTTTCATCTGATCAACCCTCAGTCAATTGTGAAATTGAAGGAGATTAAGACTCCCAAGTCTTTGTGATCATGTAATATTGGGTTGCGATGTCTAATATATCATTTCAAGATCAATTTATCAAGAATCAAGAGTGTGAGAAGTTGCTAAGCTAGGGTTTCTAAGCTTCTCAGTGTAAAATCCCATGTTTAGTGCCTAACTTCAAGACCACATATCTCAAGATACATGTTTCATCTCATCTTGACCCTAACATGAAACTTGTATAGCATGTTTCTAGCTTTCTTTTGAGTACAATAAGTATTTCATCTGATTTCTAGAACTCAAGTTATGATGCTAGCAAGTTACAGGTCATCAGATGAATGTGATTTTGGTCAACAAAAGTCAACCAACTTCCAAGCCACTTTTGACTTAGAAGGATGTTTCTCCTCACTTTGACCCAAACATGAAAGTTGTTCCTCATGATCTTAGCTTTTCAAAGAGTACTATAAGTCCTTCATCTGAGTTGCAGAACTCAAGTTATGAAGCTTGCAAGGCAGGGGTATTTTGGGAAAGTAAGATTACAGGTCATTTTCATTATAGGTCCATTTCACCACTTTGCACACCTCAAATGGAAATCTGTCTAACATCAAACTTGCTCCAAATGGGGTCAAATTTATCACCAAACCATTTCATGTCATGTTTGAAGCTTGGATTTGAGAATTGGTATGAGACTTTTTCATGAAGAAAGCTTAAAAAGGGTAAATTGCAATTAATTGATTTTGAACCAAAACAAGTCATGTTTATACATATTTTGAGTGCCAAAGATATAGTAAACATGATGCAAGCATTGGATTTCCATTTTGGGTGTCATTTGCACGTATGGTTCAATAGCATTTTCAAGTGAAAATTGATAATCCAATATCCACCATTTGATCAAACCAAGGGTTGAATACCATCCACATGATCAAAGTGAAGTGCCAGCAGTGATTTTGAATAAAAAACAAGGAGAATT